TTATTGGCATCATTAATATTTGTTTTTCTTTTTTAGAAAATAAAATATATTTCCAACGTAGAAATTACTAAGTTTATCAGCATTAATCTTCTAATTTTATTTCCTTCCAATGTTTAAAATATACTTTTTAGATGGAAAGCTTTGTGGGGGTGTGAACAGGCAAGGAATTGATTACTACAACAATCTCATCAATGAACTCCTTAGAAATGGTGGGTATTGTTGTAATATTTTTAATTAATATCATCAATTATTTGAAGCCATTTTGTAAGTGAATTGGTCAACTAATCGTGTGGCTGTGATTTGATCTGTAGGCATCAAGCCCTACATCACACTTTTCCACTGGGATGTTCCCCAAGCTTTAGAAGATGAATATCAAGGCTTCTTGAGCCACCAAATTGTGTAAGTAAATTTGGCATCGCATTGTAATATAAACTTATTTTTTTTATTATTTGTTTAAAACAACGTTGCACCATACATTCAAAAAAATATGTGACAAACATAGAAATGAGAGGCTAAATGAAAGTACTAAAGTTCAAAGAGATGATGGGAAATATCGTAATTACAAAAGAAGGTTGTGGAGGAAGTAGCAAGTTTTAATGTCCCCCCATAAGTTAGTCACAGGTCTAGAAATGTCTGATAAGAGGCGATTGTTTTTTCAAGACAAATATACTAAAGAATCGAGTAGTGGCAATAGCACTTGAGACGACGTTGAGGTACTACCTACTTTGAGGTCTTAAGTTTGAGCTCTACGCTGGTTATAGTTTTATTCAGCTCATACAGCAAACTGCTTCGATTATAGGGATCCACTGGTGTAAGCCATACGAAATCGACGTGGGGAGATCAAAATATAAAAAGTGGGATGATTGGTAAATTTAAACAAGTATATTTTTATTAAGATTGTTAATTTTTAGTGAAACAACAGTCTCTTTTGGGTAAAGTTTTTTCTTTTTTTTTTTAACATGTATTTTCGGCAAGTTAATTATTACAATTCAGGTTATATATGAAGTTGTTACGTTATTTATTTTATGGGTGGGATTTTTGGTTTTATCAAATTAAAACATGTGATACTTTCAATTTGGTTAATAAAAAATATTTTAATGTTACATTATTGTTTGTTTTTTTAGTACAATAGGGGACGAGGGATCGAACTCACAATCTCGATTGGAGTTATATGCTAATTATTGCTGAGCTTTACTCACTTTAGGATCACATTATTTGTTTGTTGATAGTATATAATTTATTGGAAAAAAAGTCATTAAATAAAATATAAATGGAATATATTAAAAGATTATAGATGCATTTTAAAATTTGTTCAATTAATTAGAACTAAATTATATATTTTGTTAAAATGATTTATGATTTATTATTATTGATTTACGTAATCTTCAGCTACCTTTAGTATTCCAAACCGAGCATAGCTCAAATGGTTAAGGCACCTATCTCTGACTAAGACTTCATAAGTTCGAACTCCCACCCCACATGTTGTATAAAAAAAAAAAAAATCTAC